TCTCCCCAAGAAAACGCAGACCCCCCTATATCCTGTACGGAAAGTCATACTAGGTATGAAGAAGATTTGGAAGTCGACGACTAACCCCCCCCCCCTCCCCCCGAATTAGGTTTTTAACGTTTTGGCGTGATAATTTTTTGGGGGGAGGTGGATTTTTTTATCTCTAGAGTGGACCCCCCCCTCCTGGAAAAAATCCCTAGATCCGCGCCAGCATTTTGGTTTGAAAGATACTTCATTCCAGAGCGCTTTGTGCAGATGTCAACTACGATAGTACTTGATAGAGGGTAAGGAAATTATTTCAAATCTAGATTTTGGCAATTGAGGTAAGAATTTGAAAGAAATAATCTAGCACCAAGCGCAATTTTTGTGCGCAATAATTAATATACATGTACAGGTTTTTAAATGGGTGGCACTATAGCTCTCCGGTCTATCAAATTTTATTTTTTCGGACAGCTAAAGTTGTGCAGCTAATTCCTTGTTAAAAGTTGGACCCACAGCCGGGATTGTGAATTAGTTACACGAAGGAAAGCAAAACTGAAACAAGAGGCCCACGGGCCTTATAGGTCACCTGAGCATTATGCAACAATTTTCCAGTTATTGAATTTGATTCATGTTTTAAGCCAGATGCTATATGACATTCACAATTTTGAAAGAGGCACCATTGATCATCATAACAATACATTTAGCAGTTGCTTAGCTTGGTTACTGAATACCCATATGCAGGGTAGGGGAACAAAAATGCATTCCAACTAACCAGTAGTGCCCCTAACCCTGTGACATAAACCCCTGACCCTAGGTCCACACATTACACAAATTTCAAAAAGGCACCCTTAATATCAAAAAATAAATAAATGTTTTATAATACAAAAGAGCAGATTTCAAACAATAAATTCATTATCAGTATATAAGTAGAGCCCCCATTCCTGACCCTGGGGCTATGAAATTCACAATTCTGCAAGATTAGGGCCCTTGCTCATCATAACTATAAAGGTAGTTCATCTGCTTTATACCCAGAGACAAAGAAAAAAAATTTCAAAGATTTAATGTATTTTCATTATATAATCAATTGAGCCCCGCCCCCCTAACACCAGAACCCCTGACCCTGGGGCCATAAAATTCATAATTTTAAAAGAGGCATTCTTGCTCATCATAACTATGTACTTAGTTTATTTAATTCCTAGGAGCAGAGAAGAAGATTTTCAAAGAATTCATGTATTTTCAATATATAATCAATAGAGCCCTGCCCTAACACCAGAAACCCTGACCCTGGGACCATAAAATTCACAATTTTGGTAAAAGCACTCTTGCTCATCATAACTATGCACTTAGTTAGTTTATTTAATACCTAGGAGCAGAGTAGAAGATTTTCAAAGAATTCATGTATTTTCACTATATAATCAATAGAGCCCCCCCCCCTAACACCAGAACCCTTGACCCTGGGGCCATAAAATTCACAATTTTGGTAGAGGCACTCATGCTCATCATAACTATGCACTTAGTTAGTATATTTAATACCCAGGGGCAGAGAAGAAGATTTTCAAAGAAATCATGTATTTTCACTATATATAATCAATAGAGCCCCGCCCTAACACCAGAACCCCTGACCCTGGGGCCATAAAATTCACAATTTTGGTAGAGGCACTCATCCTCATCATAACTATGCACTTAGTTAGTATATTTAATACCCAGGGGCAGAGAAGAAGATTTTCAAAGAATTCATGTATTTTCACTATATATAATCAATAGAGCCCCGCCCTAACACCAGAACCCCTGACCCTGGGGCCATAAAATTCACAATTTTGGTAGAGGCACTCATCCCCATCATAACTATGCACTTAGTTAGTATATTTAATACCCAGGGGCAGAGAAGAAGATTTTCAAAGAAATCATGTATTTTCACTATATATAATCAATAGAGCCCCGCCCTAACACCAGAACCCCTGACCCTGGGGCCATAAAATTCACAATTTTGGTAGAGGCACTCTTGCTCATCATAACTATGTACTTAGTTGGTTTATTTAATACCCAGGAGTAGAGAAGAAGATTTCCAAAGAAATAATGCATTTTCACTATATACTTATTTAGCCCCGCCCTAGCACTAGAACTCCTGACCCCAGGGCCATGAATTTCACAATTTTGGTAAAGGACTCAATGCTGATTACAATCATGCAAACAGTTTGACTGCTTGATGTCCATGAGTAAAGAAGAAGATTTTTAAAGATTTCATTAATTTTACTGGTTTTGGCCCCACCCCTCAGGCCCCAGGGGGGCAGGGATCATGAAATTCATAATTTTTGTTTCCCTTCACCCATAGATGCTTTGTGCCAAATTTGGTGGAAATTGGTTCAGTGGTTGCAGAGAAGAAGCTGAAAATGTTCAAATGTTAACACACGACGGACGACGAACGACGGACGACGACGGACGAAAACAGATAGCAATAGGTCACCTGAGTTTACTCAGGTGACCTAAAAAATCTATCAATAGCGAGTTGAAGGGACAAGGATTGAACAACATATAAAGTGTACTTATTTTATTCAAAATATTAAACCACAGGAGTTCGCGTACCCATCAATTTTACCGAAATTTTCAGTAAATAAAAAAAAAACGTAATACCTATAATAATATAGGTTACGTATTTTTTTAATTTACTGAAAAATTCGGTAAAATTGATACAGTGTAGGTACGCGAACTCCTGTGATTAAACGTAAAATATATTTATACCCCCCGCTTGAAAAGTGGGAGGGTACACTGTAATCGGTATGTCCTCCCGTCCTTCTGTACGTCCGTCCGTCTGTCTGTTACGCTTTGGGGTACCCATCTCTTATCCGCAACTCCTCTTATACCACTGAGTGAAATTTAATGAAACTTTCACAGAATCTGTATTACATATTTCCATTGTGCACCTCCTATTTTACTTTTTGATCCGACACATATTTTGGGTTTCCCGGCCACAGCAATGCATGGGCTTTGCAATTATAACTATATGGGAGGAGGGGGTATCATTTAGTGAGCTCATTGCTCACAGTACCTCTAGTTTTCGGTTTTTTTTTCACTCTGTTTACAAATAATTCTTTCTTCTACTTCATTTCAAATTATATATATGTACACTACAACAACATCTACATAACAGATTTTATGGTTTGCAAACCATGTCATTTTTATTCTTTTATTTATGTATTTATTGGGGGAGGGGGGCTTTCTGTCGAGTAATGGCCGATCTTCATATTCTAATAGAATGACATCACCACCACGCTTTACCTTTTTACCATTAAACATAATTAAGCATGAAAATGTAAGACGTGGCGTTGTCATCGTGATCCTTTCCAGTCGATAACAGAATTCAGGATACTGTCTTATCTGACATAATTATTTAATTTTGTCAACTTAAATCTGGAGTATGTCTACAAATAGTCATGAAATGTTAGAAAGAACAAAACCCAGCTTTAAAACATCAGGGAATTCTTACCCCAGGCACGTAGCATCTGGAGCCTGCCTCACAGTTTTTAACATGCAGACGAAACTTTTTACTATAGAAAATATGAAATGAAAGACTGAAAGTCCGGTCTATCGCTCCCCGTCAGGTTTGTTGCAGTACAGTCAAATAAAGGTAAATTGAATGTACAGCATGTTTTAGTAAAACAAAGTGTTCGAAAATTGGAACCGACCCCCCTTTTTTTCCTTCAGGGACAATAAAATCGTTAATATGCCGATTTTGCATACAAGACATTTTTAATATGCATTGGATTTTTAAACTCAAAAATACACACACGATCTAGAAAGAAATATTTCACACAAAAAATTACCCCCCCCCCCCCCGAACAGATTTACTTCAACAATTTACTTATCTCATTTTTATTTTTTTTCACTTGTTTGCAGGAAAATCCTATAACCTTTTTTTCGGTTTTGGAAGAATACGTTATAGTTATTTATTTATTATATATTGTTTAATTTTATTTATAAAGTATTTTAATGTTGAAACTTCTTTTCCTTTATCTCAAGCACAACTCGAAATCTCTTTCAAAGCTGAATTATCGCATGCAAAGGCAACCTTATTTACTTCTAATATTTTCTAAATAATGCACAAAACAAAGTCCAAATTTGGTTGGATAGAATGTAATTGTTGCAAACTAATGGTGAACATTGAATATTCAAGGTAAGTTGAGATTAACACGAATTTCAGTCGGCAAATACTATTTTCACTACTAGTGTTTTCAATCAGCGTTTTCGCTCTACCAGCCCTTGCTTCAGAACAATTATCTTTAGCTAATCGACAATTAGTACATGAAAAATAAAGTGCTCATGGAATCGCATACTTTTATTGTAACCAAAATTTCAATTATTGCCTGTGTAATGGAATATATTCGCATCAAATGCATAACCGGAAATCGATCTCTTTTGATTTTTATACATAACTGCTGGTTATGCAGCTGGTCGATTAGCAGGCGTGGTAATGTTTCTAATGAATTGGATTTTTTAAAGTGCTATTTAGTGTGAACGTTATCTTTCAAAAATGATGTGTGAACGTTACCAATGTAGTAAAAAAATAAAAGACACTGACAAAAATATTAATTTGGATTACGCTTGACTAAGTGCATACATTCATTGTTGCAGGCATATTTGAATATGATAAAGTCTGTTTAAAAATCTGAAGTATTTGCTAGGAACTTTTGTGATTTACACGTTCCACAGGGCATGTGTGTTTACGTTACCTTTCCATTAATTTGAATAAATGCGACATGATCTCAGAAAAGACTGCTTGTTCGAAAGTTCTACAGTGTCAGCGGATAAGAGAAGGCAAAACGTGATTCCGTAAGAATAAAACATTTGGTAAGTTTTTGTCCCTGTGTAAATAATTCACTCATCTATTCAACGAAGCGATGGAAAATGGCGGATTGTTTTTACTGACGTTATCCTGGTGATGACGTAGATTAGCACCCTTGTTACAGGTGAGTATATATGGTATACAAAATAGAGTTTAGAATTCATCAAAAAAAACTTACAGTTTAAAATGTTTGTCCTTGACACCAGGATCTATTATCCAAGAAACAATTACCAAGGTAGTTGCATATACACTGGACAAACCTAAAAATGTAAATTCTGCAACCATTTAACAACTTATTCTAATTTTGCTCCTTAAGGTAATTTCCACCCTCCTTTGATGTCATAGGTTTTTGCAAAAACCGTAGTTTCAATTCATACCTAACAGAACGATATCTTTTGAAAGAATGCTTTACAATAGGTGTACAGTGGCTGCAACGTTGTTGTTGACAACTTACACGAAGGATCACGTTACACGAACGATTCCGCACGATTAATGCACGATTAAACCTGTTACATGAACAATCCTTCATGCACACGATTCTACGCCTTACATGGTCTTACACGATTGCTAACGCAAACGCACAATTCTTCACTCAAAATAGTTTAAAATATTTAGGAATCAATATTTTCAAAACGAAATAAGGTTTAATACTGATTTAAGATTTTAAAGAATTATCAATAGTATTTCATAGACTTTGAAAAAAAAAAAACGGAAATGGATATTTCTGTAACCATGGTAACTAAATACATTAAACACTTATTTATTATTTTAGATTATACAATAACTATTTAAGTAATTCTCTGACTTAAGAAAACAGATTTTTATCGTTCTATCAGAAGATGTTCATGTAAGTGGACCAATAAATTTGATTGAATTGGATTCCATAATATGCAGAAAGGGGGATACGATTGAAAAAAATGGCAGCATAAAGTGAAGTTATATCCATATGCTAGCTTCCACCGATTCAATGTTTGTTAATCTCAAAAAATGAACTTGACAATTATTAAACATATATTTTATTTGCAGAAATTTAAAAATTGATTAAAACTAAGCTCTAGAGATAAACACTGATAAACAAAACCCTGAAAATCATGTCGCGTGCATGTATTGTCGCCGACTACATATTTATGTAAGCATTGAGAAATGCTCATGTTTTTGTAAAAATATCTATTTTTGATGGATTGATTTTAAAAATATTTTGACCACAATTGGCAGTAAACAAAAATGAATATCACAGAAAAAAAACGTTGAACATCTAAGTACGGTTTATCACAATATATAGGTCGCCCTATTTGACGAGAACATATCATTGTACGACTTACTATATTGCTTGTTTACAAGCGATAATTAGTTCGTTCTGCATTCAATTATTGCTAGCGCTCTCGAGCGCTAGCAACTACGTTAGTCTAAATTCCTTGAATTCGGATGTTCGGCTTCATGGTCGTGCATTCTGGGAAAACTGGGAAAACTACTATGGATAGACCGTACGATAACAATTTCGTTGTATCATGTTGTATTAAATAACTATGTTTATTTATTGTGTAGCTTATACTTTAAAGATAACTACATATTTGTAATACTTCAAATTTTCCGTTTTTTCTCTGACGGAAATGACCTTGACCTTGACCTAATTTTCAAGGTCAAAGGTCATAAGATCTCATGCACTTGGTCTTATATCTTTACCACTTGTCCTTTAAAAGTTTTTTATTTTTTTGTAAACTTTAAAACTTTCAGGGGCAATAACTACTGGATGGGGTTTACAAATCCTTTCGCACTTCCAGATTAGAGAATGTACTAAATAAGTTGAAGACTTTAGTGAAGGTTTCATATTTCTGCGGTTTACGGTTTCGGAGGAGTAGCGATAACAAGCATTTCTTGCGAAAGGGGCAATAGCTTTGAAAGGGGTCAAAGATCAAACATGGGGGGTCGTTTTTCGGAATAACTTTTAATATCCAATATCATGACGTCCCGAGTCATTATCTGATTGTTCTAAACAAAGAAAGTTTTTTTACGTCTAATTAAGCACAACCAAAGATAGGCTCTAATATCTGATTGGTCAATATTCAGCCAATCTTACAAATTCCAGAAACAAGAATTTACACTAAAAATAACGAATAAATCCATTATTTATATGAAAAAAAATTCTGACATGCATGGCTTTTGACCTAACAGTTCTTGACAAAGATGTCCCAAAGCACCAAGCTACTTCACATCTTCACATTCGGAACTCTCTTGATTTCTTTATACAACATTCACTTTGAGTTATTTTCTATATTCCTTTTAACAGGTCTGGACGATTTCCAAATATGGAAGTCAAGAACGATAACTGAAAGTTGCTATAAATATACATCAAGTACACGTAATTTTTTTTCTGTCCAATCAGACAAGAGCATTTTACACACCCCAAAAATATTCTAAAAGAACAAAAAAAAAATAACACGTGCTTTTGTTTTTTTTCCTCAAAAAGATTTTTTAACACTATATCTTTAGAAGTAAGATGAAAACTTTCAAAGAATAGGGTATTTCCCACATATTTACCGTGAACAACCTTGACATTTTTATCTCGGTAAAGAAATGATAATAATGCATTATACAATTTAATCATTTATGGAGGTATAAATCACACCACCAAGTTCATATCAAGTTTAATTATAATTTTTACCAGATTATATAATATGTTGGTCAAAAATTAATTAAGATTGTTATCTGCTAGATAATATTTTTATGTCAGGCTCTAAAAACTGAAATTTTACAATATTTAAATCCATTTTTTAACGTAAGTTAAACTTTTGGGATTGCTGCCTTCTAGTGACAGATATTTTTATCCCACTTAAAACATATTCTAAGCTTTCAAGTCGTGTTTGTTCACGGTAGAATTGTCATAAATATTATATTAATCCTAAATGTGCATAGAGTTTACAAAAAGTTTGTTCTAAAAAAACTTTTGAGCAAAAAAGTTAAAAACCACGTGTTTTATTTATTTACTCATGAGTTTGTCTAAATGCTGTTATCTGATTGGTCAGAATGACTAGCGCCTTGTTTATTCTGTGTATTAATAGCAATTTACAGTTATCGCTCTTGACTTCCTTATTTGGAAATGGAAATCGTCCAGACCTGTTTAACTCCATTGTATTTTCTTTGCTACATTGCCAAGAAATTCTATTCTTAAACAAGCTCATACAATGCCTCAATCGGCATCTTCACCATATTAGATAGAGTCTCCCCCCTCTCCAGTAAAGGTCATAAATGTTCCGTTGCGCCAAAACTCCATTAGGTCCACCCCCCCCCCAACCCCCCCAACCCCCCTCCCGCGTTTCTTTACCTGTGTGTCTATAAAATAAACTTCACAAAAAATTATTATAACTTTATCACACTCCAGCCTCGATAAAAATTAAAGAATTCAGCAAAATATATCTCTTGATCACGGATCCTCCTTTCTGTGTTTGCAAATTGCTACGGCGCTAGCTCACCTATCTTTTTAAAAGATAAACTTGTTAAGTAAATTGCGCTTCATTCATTTTATTTGGATTTAAATAAAAAAAAACAAGCAAAATGTTTGTTCCACAAACAACATTCCGATAAAAACTTACAAAATAAAATTAACACGTTTCAAAACGCACGATCGCACACGATTAAAACCGCAAACGATTGAGTCTGATACATGTACGATCTCGCACGTTATGCGAACCATCACGCACAATATACAAACGATTCTACAAGAGTGGTTTGTCAACAATAACGTTGCAGCCACTGTACATGTAATGATAAATATTGTTGAGTAAAAGATTTTTAAAAATGCATATTTTCTTTATTCAATCAATTATTCAATTTTTGAAAAATGTTGACAAGGGCAAAAAATCCTTCAAAGGTCTCTTCATTCAGGCATTTGCTTTACTGTTTATAGTTTCCCTGATATTCACAATTCAAAAGTATCTTCTAAGTAGGAAGTATTTAGGAACAATCAGCATTAGATTATGCATTTTAACTAGTTTTTACATATTTCTCATAATACTGTTTACAAAACTGTGGGATTTTTTGTGTTGACATACACTTCTGTTTATTTATGCTTCGCATCTTAAATAATATGGTGACCTATATATTTTTTGCAATAATTGGAAAATTTAAAGTTCTTAGTATCTTAAATGGAAATAAATGCAGTTTTTGTAATTTGAACCATTAAAATTGTGAGGGTGGAAACACCTTAAAAGGACACGAGTCAAAATTATGTCTTTCTTTTAAGATATCTGTAGCATTCAGAGAAAGACTTATGAAAATTATGAGTATAAAGCTAAAATATGACAATTAAACTGCAAGAAAAGACTGCACAATATAAGTGCCTATGGAACGCCATCACTGCCTTATAGCATACAACTATGCATTTATTACGTCAATTTATCATTACGTGATGTGAACATATCTTTACGTTATGTCCATTTTTTATGAGATGATGTAAATATATCTTAACATCATGTCAATGCTGCATTACAGGAAGTAAATACATCCTTTCACTATGTTAGCACTTCATAACTTGAAGTAAAAAATTCATTATGTGAAGTGATAATGTGTTTACATTGTGTTAAAACTTTATTACGTGAAATGAATGTTTCTTTACATCATTTCATTTCTTTAATATGTGAGGTCAAAATTGCATTACGTCAAGTAAATCGTGTTTTATAATTAAACTTATCATTACATGAAGTCAAAAGCCCATTCCTTTTTGAGAGTGTATATTTCTATTATATCAAAGCATTATTACGTGATATGGATTTATCTTTATTTTACGGCGAGGGCATCATGATGTGAGGTGAACACATCTTACCTTTATGTCAGTGCTTTATTAGGTGGTGTAAAAAGTGTATAACATAATGTGAACATATCTTTATATTATATCAACACTTTATTACATTATGTCAAAACTCCATTCCGTGATGTGGATATGTAATTACGTTATGTCAACTCCTTCTTATGTGATTTAAAAATATTTATTGTGTTAACTCTTTATCATGTTGATTCCAAAAGTTCATTACCTAATGTTAAATTACATTTACATTATCACAAAGCTGTATATCTAGTATATAATGAATGTTGACGACCGTGTTTTAATGACTGGTATGAAGGGGGGGGGGGTCCTGATTGATTAGGACAAATTACAGGCACATAATATCAACCCCCCTCTTTTCCCAGACATAACTCTACTATAGAAAATGTAATGTTCATTGAAACTGTACAGCCCCCACCCCCATTTCTTGTGGAAGTATAGTCCACTAAGGGTAATGTAATATATCTGGAAAAAATAGGACTGATCGAAGTTGGACCCCTCTCCCCGAAATAGGATTTTCGGGTTTGGACATTTTTTTTTCTTGGCTTGTCAAGTTTTTTCGGGTAAATGATTTTTTTTTTCTGGCTGACCTCCTCTTTCAAAAAAAAAAAATGATACGTCACTGGAGTTAGTAATTTTTTTTAATCATTCCAGGGCCAGAATTCTATTACAAAAATCTACCAGTCGCTCATCTAGATCAATTGAATATGCCTTAGTAAGCATGCATGAGCACATATCAGTGGCAGATATGGAAATCATGAACAAGGAAGGGGGACGTTATATGGTTGGAGACCAAGGACGGAAAGGGGAGAAGCTCTCAGGCTTTATAGTTTTATAGAAAAAAGTTTTCAACTTAATTCAGCTAAACTTAATGTGAAACTAATGCAATGTCCTACAAAGTTTAAGACTTTTACAAAAAAAAAAAGAAAACAATTCAAAATAAAAAGAAAAAAATGATTGCTGCACGACTCATAATGTTTGATTTATTTAATTATCAGATTAAAGTAAACACCATTGAATTTCGACGTGACTTTAATTCACAGTCGCAGTGTTAAGGCTTTGCATGTTTCAAGATTGTCAATCATTTGTCGCTTAAAATTTTCATTTAAAATGTCATTCCGAAATCGCTGAGAATCTCTTCTACGACAGTTTTCTCTCCCGCCATTTTTAGTGCTTGCGGAATGCGGAAAATACGTTATGCTCATATAAAGGCCGAGGATACCCGTGTTCGCATAACGTAATAGTGAATCGACATAATGTAGAAGAGTGTGCACAGTATGGCATGAGCTTTTCACATCAGTTAATAAAAACTAAGATTGTCATGAAAAGTAAACATAACGAAATGCAAGTTGACGAAATAAAATTATAGTATGTGTAAATGTCATAAAGAGTTGACATAATGTAAAGGAAAGTTAACACGATGCAATAGTAGTGTTGGTTAATGTCATAAAGAGTTGACATAATGTAATGGAAGGTTGACACAATGCAATAGTAGTGTAGGTTAATGTCATAAAGAGTTGACATAATGTAATGGAAGGTTGACACAATGCAATAGTAGTGTGGGTTAATGTCATAAAGAGTTGACATAATGTATTGCAAGGTTGACACAATGCAATAGTAGTGTGGGTTAATGTCATAAAGAGTTGACATAATGTATTGCAAGGTTGACACAATGCAATAGTAGTGTGGGTTAATGTCTGAAAGAGTTGACATAATGTAATGGAAGGTTGACACAATGCAATAGTAGTGTAGGTTAATGTCATAAAGAGTTGACATAATGTAATGGAAGGTTGACACAATGCAATAGTAGTGTGGGTTAATGTCATAAAGAGTTGACTTAATGTATTGCAAGGTTGAAACAATGCAATAGTAGTGTGGGTTAATGTCTGAAAGAGTTGACATAATGTATTGCAAGGTTGACACAATGCAATAGTAGTGTGGGTTAATGTCTGAAAGAGTTGACATAATGTATTGCAAGGTTGACACAATGCAATAGTAGTGTGGGTTAATGTCATAAAGAGTTGACATAATGTATTGCAAGGTTGACACAATGCAATAGTAGTGTTCTGCTATAAGGCAGTGACGGTGTTCCATAAGTGCCGGAAAAACAAAAGATAGTACCCACCGTTTTGATTTCGTTGTTTCGTGTATGTCAAGGTCACAGAACTCTTATTTTTAGCTCAAATTTGTAAGCAACATTCAATTGGAGCATACAAAGGTGAGAAATATGTTTTTACAACATTTTAACATGAGGCCCATCGACCACATCACCTGAGAAGCTTTGATCATGCTATTCTTAACCATATTTCCCCCTTGTAATAACTATTGTGACCCCATCATTTTCCCCTTATCATAATTTGGACAATTTAAATTCTACACTACCCCAGGATGCTTCCACATACATGTAAGTTTCAGCTTTTCTGGCTCAGTAGTACTTAAGAAGAAGATTTTTCAAGATTTTTTCTAATATATTTCTATGTAAAACTTTGATTCCCCATTGTGGTCCCATCAAACCCCTGGGGGTCATGATTTGAACAATTTAGAATCTACACTACCCCAGAATGCTTCCACATAAGTTTCAGCTTTTCTGGCCCAGTTGTTCTTGAGAAGATTTTTGATGACCCCACCTTATTTTTGTCTTTTCTTGATTATCTCCCCTTGTGAGAGGACCTGGCCCTTCATTTTAAAAATTCAAATTCCCCTTCACCCAAGGATGCTTTGTTACAACGCACTTTGAAAAATTACGCACTTTGAAAAAAATTTTCAAAGTGCGTTAATTTTGGGACCAAATCAACGCACTTTGAAAAAATAAAATTTCTTTTCAAAGTGCATTAATATCGACCATATTAACGCACTTTGAAAAAATGTGTATGGAATGGTCAATATTCTTGCAAATCGTATGATGAATAATTGAACTGTTTGATAACTCTTCTGTGATGAGGTCACTTCAGGATGTGAAAGTGGGCGATTTTGATTTTTCCATACTTTGGAAATTCTTCCTCTCTTAATTCTTATTTTTTCCCTCTTAATTCTTATTTTTTCCAGTTTGCATGCATTTTATGTAAACTTAAATTTATTGAAAGTTTTCAACGTCATACCAGTTATGTAAATACATACATTTGGGTGTAGCATAGGCATCAGTACCGGGAAGGGTGGGGGGTTACATGTAGGCACACAATTGTTTTGCAAAGATATACATAATATATGTATGCATAAAAAATTGGGAAATACTGGGTGGGGGGTCAACTTTCAATTTGCTACCGAAGGCTATGTACAATGTATAAGAAAAAAGAAATGGGATTAGAGACCTTCTAAGTCTAGAATTTTTGTTTCATACATTTTTTTTTTTTTCAAAGTGCGTTAAATGCCTCCGTGTTAAAAAATGTTTATGTACACTCTTAACGCACTTTGAAAAAATTTTTCAAAGTGCGTTGAGTGTGTCCAAAATTTGACACATTTTGAAAAATTTTTCCAAAGTGCGTTATTTTTGTCCCAATTTTAACGCACTTTGAAAAAATTTTTCAAAGTGCGTAATTTTTTCAAAGTGCGTTGCCACAATGCTTTGTACCAAGTATGGTTAAAATTGGCCAAGTGGTTCTTGAGAAGAAGTCGAAAATGTGAAAGATTTACAGACAGACAGACAGAATTGGACAGCTGGACAGACGGACGGACGGACAACTGACTAAATGTGATCAGAAAAGTTCACTTGAGCCTTCGGATCAGGGGAGCTAAAAAGATTTCATCAAAATTTTTGGTCTACATTCATTTGTGGAAACTTGAGACCATGGTAACTATGGAAACTAATTCAACTTTTCTGCACATGTGCACAATAAAGAAGAAGATGTACCGGGGTATTTTGCAATAATATCATTATGGGGCATACTGCAATTATTTTTACTTTTATTTTTCTCCATAAAAAAAGAATTTTTAGATTCTGAAACCTGTAATTTTCTGAAACTTAATACTTGTAGGAATTGAACAAAATTTACACGTTATGCAAAATTCTACATTTGTCAATTTTCCCCTTTGTGCATCACAGTGTCTATTTAATAATTTTAATTTTTAAAAAATTCTATAATTTTTCTCCTTAGCTGTCATTTGGTGAGGATGTCATGAATTGAATGTCAGGATAAATCATAAATCAGCAAAATAATAAATGAATAAATCAATAAATACACTTATAAAATATGAAATATTCTTCAACTTCTTTTAAGTCATTCACTCATCTATCTCTGTGTATATTCACTTTTGTATCTACATAATTTAATTCATAACTTTTCTACATGTACTTTAACATTTTTGTTTTGTAAAAGGCATAAAAACAATTTTTAAAATATAATCACAATAAAAAGACCCTGTTGTAAATATACCACTATACAATCAGTAAATACTTACCAATGTAAAAGAGAAATTGGATAAAATACTTCTGGTTTAATTCACCAACACAATTGTTTATCCTAGATGAAATGAAACGAAAATTTGTACATCTAATTGCATATTGAATAAATACAGGAAGGTATCCTGAAGCAGGAATTTTTAACCTACCATGGACAGTGATGGTCCATTTTTTTAATACATCTTCTGCAGATTCTACAATGATGAGCCCTTGGTGGCCTATACACTTCACATTTCATGCAAACGCTCCAGCCATCCTTCTGTAAAAGAATATATAAACAGTGAAACTGGTTTATAATGAAGTCACAGTACTGGGACCTTAAAATTTACTTCGCTTTATCTGTAATTCGTTATATCCGTAAAAGGAATTCGTTAAATTTATATAGCTGGGGATTCAAGATAACTTCACTACAATTGTAAATTAGCTACATCCGTGTTTTACTCTATAATTCCTTTGTAAAGCTTTTATCTTCCCCATTGTGGCCAGATCCCATCCCAGGTGTCATGATTTGAACAAATTTGAATCTGCACTATGTAATGAAGTTTTTAAATAAGTTTTATCTTTGTTTGGTAAAGTGGTTCTTGGGAAGAATTTTTTATTTATAAAGAATCCAGATTTTTTTTTCTACTAATTCTGAATTATCTCCATTTGTACAAGGTTGTGACCCTAGATTTGAAATAATTTGAATCCCCTCCTTCATAGATGCTTTATGGCTAGTTTGGTTGATACAGTGAAACCTGTCTAATCCGACATGCACTGGGAGACAAATTTTCTGTGGAATAGACAGGGTGTCTGATTGCACAGTGTTAAAACAAGGAAAATACTAAGATGGGAAAGAAATTTAACGTCGGAATTCACAGTGTGTCGGATTATTCAGGTGTCGGATTAGACAGTTTTCACTGTATATGTATTTACCCAATGGCCCTGCAGATGTTTTAAAAATATAGAAAGTTTATAGATAAACAGAACACAGAGAGACAGATAGATGACTGACAAAGCTTAATGAGGTTTCAGCACAGCCAGGTGAGCAAAAAAAAAAACCACACTTACCATATTTGGCATTGGTTTTCCTGCATGCAGATCTGAGAAATCTAAACTTGTAGCAGGCAGGGGAACAATTCCTGGATCTGAAAACACTGCCCGTAGATGAGATACTGTTGCAAGAAGAAGGATAGTATTGAAAATTACTGCATTTAAGGCTCCCCATAACCTGAAAATATAAATTCATTAAATTTCTCATCCATATATGACACAAAATATGTTTCTATTACAGTAAAATTGTTTAGTACAAACACGGATATTGTGAATTCCCAGATATAGCAAAGTTATTATCTTGGATCCCCAGCTATATAAATCTAACAATTTCCTTATACGGACATATTGAATTACAGATATAGCGAAGTAATTTCATAGGTCCCAGTGACTTTGTTATAACCGAGTTTTACTGTATTATTAAGCTTGTTTGATTCATTTGTTTTTAATACATATTATCATTCTCAGGACTTAATTACTTTTTCAATCCATGTTTTATAATAAACCTTAAATACTTAACAAGAGGCCCATGGGCCACATCGTACGCATGAGCACATGAGCTAGTTAAAAAACACAAATCAGCTCAATATTGAAAAGCTTACTTGTTGGACGAGTGGGATTTGAATTTTCTATTACTAGAGAATGTCACTGTATCAATAAAGCATACATGTATAATTTTGCCGTACTTGAAAAGAAGTTTTTTAAAGATTTTTCCAACATATTACTTGATATCTCATTTTGATCCCTCACTAACCCACCCACCCACCCACCCCCCGCGTTAAAACTACACTACCTGAGGATGCTTTAACATGTCGAGTTTCATCTTTTCTAGCTCAATGGTTCTGAAGATTTTGCCTACATGTATATATTCCTATGTAAAATTTGATCAGCCATTGTGGCCCTGCCCTACCCCTGGGGGGTCATGATTTGACAAAATTTGAACTTACAATACAATTCCACATAAGTTTCATCTTTTCTGGCCCTATAATGGTTCTGGAGAAGATTTTTTAAAAATTCTCCTTTATACAGTAAAACTCGGTTATAATGAAGTCAAGGAGACCTATGAATTTACTTCGCTGTATCCATAATACGTTAAATTCGTTTAAGGAATAAGTTAAATATATATAGCTGTGGATCCAAAATAACTTCGCTATAACCGTGAATTCGCTATATCCATGTTCGTACTAAACTAGTTTTTCTGTATTCCTAAGTAAGATTTTAATCATCCATTGTAGCCCCGTCCTACACCCAGGTTCATGATTTGTACAAACTTGAATCTATACTCACCGTCAATAGAAACGCAACACCCTAATTTAAGGGCTAAAAATTTACGTACGGGATATAACTATGTACCAAAAAAGTTAGGACATCTTTTACTTTTCCAAATCAGTAATTTAACGGTTGAATGATTTTCATTCCATTACCAGAAGTTGATTTTTAGCCCCCTGAACAGAAATCAAAAATTATCATTTTTAATAAAATCATTGACAATATTTTAGGTTTTCAAGGTTTTGTACCTGTTAATCATAAGTCTTGTACTAAAAGTTCGGAAAAAATATCCTTCTTTCTCTTCCGGATGTGATGCCTGTATTTCCTCAAAGTAACTGAAAGCACGCATTTTCATTGCTAATGTTGAAAATTCTCAAAATAAAGAAAAGGGAGAGCTACAGATGCAAATATACACTACATAACGACTTTTCGGGCTCATGTGCTTCAAAAGCTTGAATGACAGTTCCTTGACCAGGGGTTACTACATTAGGCCATTCGACTCGGTATCTGAAAAACAGGCATTTAAAAAAGGACAAGAAATTTATTTCGCTCAGATTAAGAATTGATAAACTTAATGCATGGTAGAATTACCATGCTAGGACGTTTTAATTGAATTAATGTTTTAGAGTTAAGTGTTACAATGAATATATAAATGTAAAAAGTAAATTTACAAAACAATGATACTTCATTTAAACTTTAAATGTTATCTTTAGACCTTAGAAAGTGACACATAACTTTTAAAACATCCCCCCTTCCGACAATTCAATTAAAACGTCCTAGTCCGCCATCTTCAACATAAGCAACCCGAATTCTACCATGCATTAAGTTTATCAATGTCTTAATCTGAGCGAAATAAATATTCTTGTCCTTTTTTAAATGCCTGTTTTTCAGATACCGAGGTCGAATTTTCTCTAACTTGGCATGGTGTAGTATAACCCTTGAACTTCTGGTCAAGGAACTGTCATTCAAGCTTTTGAAGCACATGAGCCCGAAAAGTCGTTATGTAGTGTATATTTGCATCTGTAGCTCTCCCTTTTCTTTATTTTGAGAATTTCCAACATTAGCAATGAAAATGCGTGATTTCAGTTACTTTGAGGAAATACAGGCATCACATCCGGAAAAGAAAGAACGATATTTTTCCGGACTTTTCGTACAAGACCTATGATTAACAGGTATAAAACCTTGAAAACCTAAAATATTGTCAATGATTTTATTAAAATGATAATTTTTGATTTCTGTTCAGGGGGCTAAAAATCAACTTCCAGTAATGGAATGAAAATCATTCAACCGTTAAATAACTGATTTGGAAAAGTAAAAGATGTCCTAACTTTTTTGGTACATAGTTGTATCTCGTACATAATTTTCAGCCTTTAAATTAGAGTGTTGCGTTTCTATTGACGGTGAGTATACATTATCTGAGGATGCTTCCACATGAGTTTCAATTTTCCTGGCCCAATGGTCCTTCAGATGAAGATATTTATAAGGCCCAAGGGCCTTGAATCGCTCTTCTGATAAATTGTATCATCTATCATTTCTATTTGAAACCTCTAACTCTAAGTAGTCCAAGATGCATGAACTGACAAAGTTTGATGATTCTTAGCCAGTACGTTATGACTGAAGATATTTCAGTATAGCTATAAAATATCATAAGTAGGTCACAGTTACCTACTTTTTGATTTGAAATTTTCTGAGGACTCAAGATGCATTAATTGACAAAGATTGATGATTCTTAGCCAAAAAGTACATGAGATATTCTAAAGTAGGACACTGTCACCTACCTAATGGTCAACATTCTCAGAAACCCAAGATGCATCAACTGAAAAAGTTTGATGATTCTAAGCCATTAAGTACCACTAATACTTAAATAAAGCCATAAAATGTCAAAAGTAGGTCATCGTGACCTACTTTTCAAAGGACGTTCTCCAAAAACCCAAGATGCATTAACTGACAAAGTTTAATGATTCTAAACAAATAAGTACCTGAGATAATTAAAAGTAGGTCATTGTGACCTACTTTTTGGTTAACATTCTCTAAACACCCAAGATGCCTTAACTGACAAAGTTTAACAATTCTAGGCCAATAAGTACCTAGGAATACTTAAATATAGCCATAAATGTAAAAGTAGGTCACCATGACCTACTTTTTGGTTCACATTTTCTGAAGACCCAAGATGCATCAACTGACAAAGTTTGATGATTCTAAGCCAGTAAGTACCTAATAAGATATTTAGATATAGCCATAAAATGTCAAAAGTAGGTCAATGTGACCTACTTTTTGGTCGACATTTTCCAAAGATCCAAGATGCATCAACTGACAAAGTTTGATGATCATAGGTCTGAAAGTATGCAAAATATGCCTTTTAAACAATTTGAAAAAAAAATGCCTGCAAAATGCAAAAAAGTAGGTCACAGTCACCTACTTTTTCGTAAATATGTTTTAAGGTTCCAAGATGCATCAACTTACAAGATTTGGTGATTCTAAACCTCTCAGTGTCTGAAATAATGGGATTAAATGTTTTAGAAAAGATTAGCCATCAAATTCAAAAAGTAGGTCACCGGTGACTAGGGTTGTGTATTGAGCAAAAAATTTCAATATGATACAATATTTTTTTAAAGCCATATGTAATATATTGGATTTTTAAAAAAAGCCATCAAAAAAGGCTTATAAATCATTTAATGCATGAATTTCAAAAAAATTAAGTGTTTTACTACCCATTTTCAAGTTCTTGTCTCACTGACATTACAAATAATGTGTAATGACATTACTTCATATTAAAAGTTTTCATAACTGTAAAATCAACATATGAAAATAAAGTTGTACGAGGGTTGTCCAAAAAGATCATGGACAATGACGTTTTTGTGAAAATAAATGGTTCTATATAAATCTGTTGTATTATCGTTTTACTAACAGCGTGACAGTAGTTTGCTTGATAGGGCGTGCTAAAATTTTGTATGCTGATTATCATTTTACTCATCGATTGGATGTTTGATTTCAATGGAATCAATAATATTTTGCATATGAAACACAGAACCCAGCAATGCCACTGACAAAACTGACCAATCGCATTGAGTAAACAATAATTACTTGTGAACGTACAAAGCAACTTTTACTACCTATAATGATGATATTGATAGCTACATAGTACAACAGTAGCAGAGTAGCCTTACTAATTCCATTCTTTAAACTTGCTTATACGTATTTAAAAACCCATCCAGTCAAATCACAACAAATATAATACATGCTTTTTGGGGGACAGAAAACAGGCTTTGACTGACCATGTGTTGCTCCTGACTACAAATGCAAACATTCAATGTGATCGGCCAGTATTATCGGGGTATTGTTGTATTCCGAGTTTCATATGCAAATTAGTATTGATTTCATTGATCCAATAGATGAGTAAAATGATACCAGCACACAAAATGTTAGCACGCCCCAACAAGCAAACTGTCACGCTGTTTGTAAAATGATAATATATCAAAATATTTCTTATGAAAAAAACAAGTCAGAATGATTTATTTTTAATTGATGGAACATAATATTTTTGTAACCAGGTCTCTGTCGAGACTGTAGCTCTACTGGTTTGTACTTATAACAAAGGATGAGAAAAGACGCCATTGCCATCAGACCAAAACTGTAGAAGAAGTAGCGTTTTAAAAGAATTTCACAGAAAATTCTATTTTTAGTAACCATGGTAACACCGTTCATCGAAATCAAAAACTGATGCACTTTTTTTTGTATCTTAGTGTAGTTTACTTGTGTGCCAAGTAACATTGAAATCAGACCAAAACTGTAGAAGGAGTAGCGTTTTAAAGGGATTTCACAGAAAACTCTATTTTTAGAAACCATGGCAACACGTACCGTTCATCAAAATCAAAAACCGATGCACAATATTATGTATCTTAGTGTAGT